TTAAAAAAAATATTAAAAATACCAGATGTCTAAAGAGTATGTTGCAAACCACTAATGGTTAGAAAATCTCTATTGAAAAGAGTAACATGTACTAATTTTGTGTTGGTTGTATAAGAAACGTTAACAAATGCTTCATCATTATACCAAAATATGAAATTATATCATAATAATATATTTAAATAATCTGCAGTTCTTTATTTACATAAATTTAATTAAAGGTTAGAGACAAGATTATTCGTCAAGGAGAGAAACAGCAATTATAGGTGTTAATTTTTCAAATTCAATGTTAACTGTCAATTTTATGCTCTTATAGAATTTATAAATTCTGATGGCGCAACAGACAAGGCAATTATACAAAATAAGTTTATTTTGACAGAATGTCTCATATTAATACTGTTGCTGACAAGGGGGAAGATGACGCAAGTTTAAATTTAACGTGAAATTCTACAACCAAATTTAGTAAACCTGACAAGCCATAAGACTGAATTCTCTAATTAGTGAAATTCAGGGGGTGCTATTTCGGAGACCCGATATTGGCAACCCAACCACCGTAAGAAATATAACTGTTAAACAGAATTAGCCACAATCCCCCAGATAGATGAGGGCAATTCTTCTTAAAAAACTTCTTGCAACTAATTTTAAGAAATGAATGGCACTGTGTATGTAGAATATTTTGGAAGCTAATTTAAAACTCCACGACACGGAGAAGTCTATATCAATCCTTGGACTTTTAAAGTTAATGATAAATTTTTCTGAAAAGTTACTCAATAATTTATTTGCAGTTAACACACGCGCATACATCGCCAAAAAATGACCCATGTACCAAAATTAATATTTCAATAAACCGACATTATAATACTGATTTTTTAAATATCTGAGTACATTTCAATATCTTTTCATATATACGAAGTTGAAACATTAAAATACGGATTTTTATCTGTCTATATTTCTGAGATGAGGTACACTATTTACATTGTTCGGACTATCATCCTCATCTTTGTTGCCATATTTATCTCAACGTTTCGGCCGTTGTATGCTCCGGCCTTCTTCAGGTGATTGGAATGTTGAACTGGAGCCTTTATTTCGCTCGTGCCATGTCGAATGGATGTGAGTTGTCAGTTATCTCCTGTTAATTCCCCTGTCCAACTTCTCCACCTCCTTAAACAGGTATTGAAATCACTCTCTTTGGGTCCTGTTACTGGATCTAACTAACGCACTTATCCACTGTGCCATGTGTCCTCGAGGATATATGTGTATGGATTTCTGTATATTATAAAACTAATGTCTTCAGCCATCATTTTTTACCAGTGCTCATATTGCAATTTTTACTGTTATTATCGCTTTTCTCTGGCATTCCTTTATTACTGGTACCTATAATTTATTCATTTCTATGCTTGGTCGACTCAGGAGATTTTTGTGGCCTAGCATATATGCTGATTTCTTAAGTTTACGAATTTTCCAATGACGATCTTTGTCTATCATTTCAACCTGATCGCAAAGAGGGCGGTGATTTTCCTTTTCTCTCCATATGTGGTCAGCCTGGTTTTTCCCCTTCCCCTCGTGTTTCAGCTTTCTGGTGTTCTTGAAGCCTTACCTTAAGGGGGCGGCCTGTCTCCACTTTATATTTATTTCCGCAGTTGCCCTTGGTAGCGTACACACAGTCTTTAGCCATGTTCTCTTCTATGGGGGGGGTCTTACTCGAGAGAGATATCTGCGAGGTGTCGTTCAGCTTTTGAAGGTTGTCCTGATCTTATATGGACCGCAGATCCTTTGTAGTTTCTCCGATAACCCCTTCACATAAGGCAGGCAGACTATTTGTTGTTGTCCTCTTCTTATACCCGCCTATTCCAGTTTATTGGGGCTGCTTCCATATACCCAGGGTGGTTGTTACGTTGTATGATACTGCTTATACTGACCAATTCTTTATCTAATGTCTCTGGATCGCCACTTATGACTTTTTTTTCAGTGTTGTAAGCAGCGGAAGATCCGTTTCTTAACGCTGTATGGATGATGGGAGTTTAAAATGAGGTACTGCCCGGTTTGCGGTATACGGATAACTTGAACCCACGCTCTGTTCGAGATATTAGAACATCCAAGAATGTGAATGTGTTGTTACTCTCTTTCAGCATTGTGGACTATATCAAAGGTCTTATTTACATGGTCCAATTGAACCTGAACATTTCCTGGTGTGGCCAGTGTATGAAGGTGTAATCTACGTACGTTAACAATAGAGTTGGCCCTTTCTAATGCTATTTCCTTCAATGTATCCCATGTATATATTCACCATTGCTGGTGATAATGGCGAGCCCATTGCTAAGCCCTCATCCTTTCGACATATGTGCGATCCCATTCCGAAGATTGTTGTTTGTGTAATGAAAGTCAACATCTCCATCAGACTATCTATTGGAATACTGGTCCGTTCTCCTAGGGATGAGTCAGAGTATAATCTCTCTGACTACTCAGAGTGCCTCCTCCGTGGGTACCTTGATGAACAAACTCACCACGTCCAAACTCACCATCTGGTTGGATAGGATAAGGCTTCTTTGATTATTTCCAAGAAGTGGGAAGAGTTTCAGACATATGAAGGTGACTTTCCGATCAATGTTTCAATTGTATCTACGAGGAAGCGATTCAGAGCACACAGAACCCTGGCAACTGACAATCAACCTGAGCGGAATACTGTCTTTGGGAATCTTAGGGAGATCGTATATGTGAGGTAGCTTGGTGTAACGCTGCGACAACTGCCTATACATCTTGGGTGCGAAGTGATCCTTGTTCTTGATTAGTATCTGTGAGAGGTTGCGTTCCGTTTTAATTGTAGGATCCTTTTTTACTTTGCTGTAGCTACCAGATTTCATGTATAATCTGAGTTGTCCATCACTGCAGTAGCATTGCCTTTGTCAGCCGGTAGTACTATTATGTTTTCGTTCCTCTGTAGGGACACAATTGCCAGCCTCTCCAGTTTCATGATGTTTCACTTGGGCGGCTTGGCTTTCTCAAAGGTCAGTCTCACCCACCATTTTAGCTGAGCCTGAGGTAATTTCAAGGACACTTCCTCAATTCTGGCAATGATGTCCAAGTATGGCACTCGCCTGAAGATTGTGACGAATTTGAGAGCCTTATTTAATACTGACTCTTGAGAGGCACTCAGCTGATATTGGCTGATATTCATTATTGCTTTCACTGGTGGGTGATGGACCTTGTGCGTAACCTTCTGATCTTTCAATCTATTTAATTTTTGTACTAAGCGAGCCTTGACTACATCAAATTCATATCTGAAGGATTTATCGAGGTCATTTTGGATACTTCTTCGGTCTTCTTCATTGGTAATTCCGTTGAAGAAATCCTCTGGAAGATATGAGCTTGAAGTCTGTGTTTTATCCAACAATTGTAATGGATTCTCTCTAGGACAAGGGCGTGTCCCACTTTTTCTACGACCAGACGGACTCTCTTTGAATTGACGGAAAGTCTTGGTGCCAAGCCTGAACGGATGAGTTGTAGGTCACTGAATCGGTGTAGGAATGTCATATAGTTCAATATACGTCCCAATTTTTTGGTAGGACGTTTCAATTAGTTTCCATATATTCTGTGTATTTGGTTCGTACCGATCGTTCAGTATCTGTCCTCATCTTTGTTGCCATATTTGTCACAACGTTTCGGACGTTGTACACTCCGGTCTTCTTCACGTGGTTGGAATGTCGAACTGAACCCTGTATTAGACTGGTGTAGACTGTTCTAGTTACACCTACCATGTCTAATAGATGTCAGTTACCAGCTATCTTCTGTTAATTCCCCTCTCCAAGTTCTTAATAGCCTTAAACAGCGAGAGAAATAAAGGATTCTGTTTCAGCATATATACATCAACAGTTTTAATATATAAACACACACATACATCTTGACTGAAGAATTCCCTATGCTAGTAACACACACACACGAAACAGACACACATACATACATATATATATATATATATATATATATATATATATATATATATATATATATATATGAAGAAATATAGTCTTAAGATGTGCTATATATATGGGATAAAGTACTCAATATCAGAAATAGAGCGTGTGTAAATATAAAAGTGAACATAGAAGTCAACACTTGGAGGCGACAGTCTGTTTCATGCTAGATGCAATCGTCAGGCCACGAGTGCTGTTATTTTTTCATATAAATAACAGCAATGGTGGCCTGATGATTGCATGTAGAATGACTGTCGCCTCTAAATGTTGACTTCTATGTTCACTTTTTATATATATATATATATATATATATATATCTGAATCGAGCTTAATAGTAACTAGCATGGCCCGGCGTTGCCTGTGCATTATTCAAAAATCGTACGACTCATACAGCAATCGCTATTACTTGACTTAAAATATTTTTGCCCTTCCTTGCCTTTAAAGTAATTCTCTTTCCCGTGCTGATGTTGTTACATGTCTTACGTTGCCTATCTCACACTGCGAATTTTTTCGAAGCTCTATACTAAACATTAACTCTGTTACGAAAAAAGAACAAACAAAATGATCCCAAAACGATCAGCTTTAAAAAAAAAGAACTCGTAACTTGAAAAAGACAAAGAAAAAAGAATGTTAACAGCAAATACTTTGTCACACAACCCAGTTCTGCGGAATCAGTGTCGCGGCGGGAACGCATTGGCTAGCGTAGTTTATCGAGTTGCACGTGCCAGCCTTTTTGACACTACACACCCTCCCCTAACCGTGGTTAGGATTGAACTCAAATTAAACTGCCTATCTAAGCCTAACGAAAAAGTTGTTCGGGAGCCTTTAAGAGGCAGCGACTAATAGCGATCTAGGCTTATGACCACTTGGGGGTCTTTACCATCAGCTTGCCGTGAGATGCCCACAGACACAGAGGCTAAGGGGGGACCGGGAGCCGCCGGTTACCGGACAGACACTCCAATGGCTGGCAGTCCTAAAGAACTTCGTTGAAAACAATATTTTCGACCGACTTGTGGTGCCAGAGCGAAAACATCACTCTTGCACCCTACATGTGAGCAACCAACGTAAAGCTGGCCGTGCGAGAAGGAGCATAATTGGAAACCCGGCCTTCAAATTTAGAACGTGAGGTGGAAGACCAAGAGGTTGGAGTGAATTCAATAGTTCGATTGGATAGTCAACAACGTCCTCAGGGTCTCGTGTCCTATCGATGGATTTGTAGACTCGCTCTTCACATGGAATTTGTTGGAGAAGCTCGTCATTAATCGCATCAACAGTACGGTTTCTGTGGGCAAGAATGGCGCGTTGACTAAGCCATTCCATGTTACGGAAATTGGATTCGAGTTTTGGAAAGACGCAATTCACCAATTGAGAAGCTGTTTCGACGACTGTGCAAACGGATTCAATCGAAGCCATTCTAATATCATCTGATGGCAGTCTAGCCTCGCCCAGAACAAAAAGCCGCTGGGAAAACTCTGAGTAAGCGGTGTCACCCCTCAAGTGGGCACGCATGTTTGTGCTCAAACTTAGTGTCCTTACTTGGGACCACAAAGTCGAGGATTTAAGACAGGCTCCCACGACATCAGCCCTGTTATCTTTTGGTATGACAGGCAGTGTTTGTCTGAAATCACCTGATAGGAGAAGTGTGATACCCCCGATAGGACGATCTGAATCTTTGATGTCACGCAGGAGCCTGTTAAGGGCCTCAACTGCACCTTTATCGGACATGGTACACTCATCCCAAACTATGACTCTGCAACGTCGAACAACCTCAGCTTTGTCAGAATTTTTTTAGATATTACAGATTGGCGTGGTCTCTTTTACCAAGTCGTGAGGTAACTTAAATGCTGAGTGCGTAGTCTTTCCTCCCGGGAGCAAAATAGCTACTATGCCCGATGATACCATCGCTAGTGCGATATCACAGGTACGCCTGAGCTCGGCAAGTATGAGTTTAGTAACAAAGGTCTTACCTGTACCCCCTGGAGCGCCGAGAAAGAAAATACCACCCGTTTGGTACCGTACGAAGTCAACGATAAAATCGAAGGCTGCTCTGTGTTCAGGCAGAAGTTTAGGCATGTTTTCCGCAAAATAAATCTCAAGCTCCTCGACGTTATATGACGTCTCCCTCAACAAATCAGTGGAAAGATCAGTAACGCGTTCACGATGTATAGATGGTAAGCCATATGTCGCAAGTGTACTACCACCTACCTCTAGAAGACAGTCTTCGAGTGCAATTAGTGCTCTGTTGTAAATTATTCCGCTGAATGTAACCTCGATGTCAGGATTATGGGATTAAGCTTGACGTAGGAAATCTTCTGACATGTGGTCTTTGTAGCGCTCCCATAAAGTATTTGGGTCGTTTATTCGCACCACTGAAGAAGTATTGCGAATAGATACCGGAGACAGCAAGGAGATCTCAAAAGGACGCCCTCTGCTAAGGTAGAATCCCATTGCGTGTCATCTTGAAGAAAAGCGCACCGAAAGCAGGCCTCACAGAATAAAGCGTAGACATAACCTTCGACAGTTAAGAGATCTTGGAAGCTCTGCGGCCCAAGTACTTCATGCATGAGCATTTGGAGGTAAAAACACTCCTGCTGGCTTGGTGGTACGGTGCACACTGTGCCTAAGCAGCCGTCCCATTTTACTCCTGGCTGCCCTTCAACGTCCTGGACCGTTTTTCTTCGAACCCAAGTACTTCCCGACCAAACACAGTAGGAAGGAACCTGGGGGTAGAGGAGTGTCTGAGCGAACGTGTCGTGACAGCACAGTTTAAAAAAAAAACAATAAGCGTAGTGTCCTTTGAATTCATTGCAATCTCGGCTGCATTTTCCTCCGTGAAATAGGTTCGCTGACCATTTTCTAGATGAAAAGCCAATTGCACAATAGCAGGATGCCTTTGATGAAGTGGAAAAACGAAAATTCGCCAAAAAATCACGTCGGAATTACTTCCAGCGCAGCAATACTGTCAATGTCACGACCTTATCGCTCGGATATTTAGGCAGAAAGTCATTAAGCTCATGGATTTGATTACAAAACGACCTCCCAAGAACTCCAATACCTCATCGCGACTGTTGGCGTTTTGGAATGTGAACATGGTTGCGTCTGAACCTTTATTGACGTACTTACAAATGTACCTTATAAACTGAACAGAATTCAACATTTATATTCGCGTTAAAAAGTTTTCAAAATGAGGGGGCAGTACGACACAATCCACCGATTGTCTACGCTATGCTCCTTAATGTCAAGCCCCTAATTTTCAGTTTCGCGCCGGCGGTACCGGGGATAACCGTCTCCTGCGATTAAGGTCTCGTCAGTAAATTTTTTAGGAAAATTTTTAGTACATGTATTATTTCTATGGCAAAAAGAGAAGGTTTCGAACCCAGGTCCACATGGTTCATGAAACATCTTGCCCTATACGATTTCGTACAATTGTGGATCGAGAACGGGATCCGGGATTTCAGTCGAAATTATATCGTCCACTGTAGTTGGATTAATTCTGTTTGTAAGCCATATAAGGATATCGGCATGGGGAAGACCCTTTTTCTCCCACTCGATGGTGCACATGTCGCACCTAACAGGACCATATAGTTGGCCTTTTGTAATCAAATCCACGAGCTTAATGACTTTCTGCCTAAATATCCGAGCGATATGGTCGTGATGGTGACAGTATTGCTGCCCTGGAAGTAATCCAGACGTGATTTCGACCAACTTAGGGTTGCAGGTAAACGTGATAAAGAGGTAAGGACGACCGTAATGGCGTACGTAAGTGATAGCATTTTGGGTACGCACGTGCATATATCGTGGACCCCTGTAAATGATGAGGGAAAAATGCAAGCCTTCCCCAGGTTGCGGGGGTTTACCTCATTCCTAATACCATCTTGCAGGTGGATATAGCTGTCACACCTAAGCTTTTTCTGGTTCAGTTTAATGAAGGCTAATCTCTCTGACTCCATTTTCGCAGCCATGTCAACTGAAATTTGGTGAAAACGATCCTGACCCCTGTGCAATGGATTAATGGAGCCAACTCTTCTCATAAAGGGGTATGAGTAGAATGACATACAGGACACAGTTTTCGTGGTTACCTATGAGGTAGTGCCAGGCCTGTACTGAGGAATTCCAACATGATACCCATTGTCTCCATATGGGAAAAGAAGCGGGTACTGGAGTGCGTCGTATGAGCGGTTGGTTTCACTTATGCGTTGTAATTGGCTGTTCCGACAGTGAAGACCAATATCTCGAGGTTTATGTTGATCACCATGGAGTAGCACGTCAACCTCATTGCATGACGGAGCATTGTAACAGCGTAAGTGTTCATCCGAAGGCCTCTTATCTGCATCGATAATAATATCGGGGCTAGATGAGGTTTCTAAAGTGTACTTAAAGCTCCGAACGTAGCTATTGCATTCATGGAGCATATTCTGCAAAGCAAGCAAAAGATCTTTGTCAACGGTATTCGCAGGATTGCTTCCGCAGGAGGAAAAAAATGCCGCACCAGCTGATTGTAATCAGAAATGAAGTAGATATTTAGGAATGAATGCAACTGTTCGTTTTGAGGTAGTAGCGAGTCAATCAAGTGGTACACCTGGTCTTGTACCTTAAAAGTGGACATCCACCCAGCCTCTTTAACTACATCAGCCCCGAACGAAGTCATTTGTAAAGCTACGTATATTTTTTAGAATAGGACTTCAAGCGGCATTCGTACCCATAAGTAACTCTTTTAGGGGAATAGGCGGCTCCCTAATTGGGGGCAAATGGATTTTGTCAATGAGCAGCTAAACCCAGGCGTTTCTCCAGGCCATTTTAGGGCGCTACAGTGCCGACAGGCCTGGTTCATAGAACCAATTAGTATATCTAATCGGGAGTTGTAACTAACAGTAAAATCGTACTGAAAAGCTCGACGTAGCCAAAATGATTTACAAAGGCAGGTGATATCCCGGTGAGCACCTCTGCGTTCATTGTTACCTTAAAGACTAAGGATCCGTTTATGTGGTATTTCTGACGCTTTTGACGCGGCCATAACTGTTGCGTTACGTGAATTCCGTACCCTGCGCTCATCCGCACATTCAGCGGCCCTAGATGCGGCCATAGCTGTTGCATTACGTGAATTTCGCACCCTGCGCCCATCCACACTCTCACTGGCTCTCAAAGCGCTCTGTTGTCGTGACCTAATGCTCAGCCGACTCAATGGGATTCTCTTCTTTGGTGGTATTATGAAAAAAAGAAGAAAAAAGAACGAACTCACGTATTAACAACATTAAAAGGTATAGCAGTGTCAGGTTTAGGGATGTGCCCACTACGGGGTCTGCCAACTCGTGAAGTTTTAGTAGTGTAGAAAAAGATAACACAAAGGAAAATCGTATTTGAGTTCGACAAATGTTGGTATGAACAGAGCAGTACCGTCTACCATGCAACTAATCGTAGTTGTGAGGTTGAAGGAACCAAATCAACGTTGAGTTTAAGCAAGTGAATAAAACAATTGGAGTAAAGTGTCATGCAGATTTAAATTTTTCCCACTTGTGACGAATGCAGCTATCGATTTTTTTGCTAGTTAACATTCGTGTCAGTCAGCTGTTGGCTCTCACGCTGGCCAATAGAATCTTCCTGCCTATTCGTGGCAGCCAGCTATAGGCTCTCACTCTAGCCAGTAGAAAATGGCCGCAAACTACATGAAAACTGCCGTAGAAGCAGGAAAAATCGATTTTTTTCCACTATCGATGGGAGTTGGGAAATGCAAGGTTGGTTTTGGCCTTCCCGCTAACCTGGAGCATGTTCATGTAAATTTTTGTGCAAATCCGTCGAAAATTGCGACCGTTCATTCGTTACACACAAACACACACACTCATTCTGCCTTTCATATATAGAAATAATAAAACATTTCCTAGTAGAAGTTGATCTGTGATGACACCATTATAAACTAATAACAGATATCAGTGTAGACTTTATTTTGAGTCACACCAAAGCATCAGAGGAATCAGGAATACCAAATATCTAAACTTGGAAGGTATCCGCATAGCCAAAAATTGGAAATTCTTGTCACACAGGATGTCAGCTGACTGCCCCGATGAGTAAACCTATGGACGATCCACTGCGCTAAGAATATACACATACTGGGACGACTGGATAACACGAAGATATATATAAACATACCACTCGAGTGGCAACGATCACAGTTTTTCACATACTCCAATTTACGCACAGGTTATGTACACGAATTGATATTTTCTTTTCTTTCATCTAGTAATATAGTCAGTCCTTCAGTGCCTAAATTAAATTTTAGTCAATTTCTTTCTTCCCTGATAACTAAAATATTCAAAAATTTAAATACAACATCAATTATCATCTGTCTTCAAACCTTTTTTTGTTCTTTCCTCAATCCTCCCAATTCTCTCTCTTCACATTTTTTTCACTTTCACTTTCATTCACATAATACCCACCACTACTAAGTTCTAGTGTCATTATACTCATATTTTGGAGAAAACTATTAAAAAATATAAATTAATAGAATTGGAAAT